TGTGTGTGTGTGTGTGTGTGTGTGTGTGTGAGAGAGTCTGTTTGGCAGAGTTGTGTGTTTTCCTGTCGTGACTAATGGAGACTGAAGAAGAACTTCGAGTACTCACGCAGTTTTAATTGTTATACATGTTTTATTTTACTTTTGTCCAGCTACAGACTTCAGTGAAGTTTAATTTCCTCCTCTGTAACTGCAGTACTTATATTCTGTAGTCGTCCTATCTGTTTACATGGAGGGAAACTCTCCCCAGCAGCAGGTGTCTCATAGTGACGTTGAGAGCTTCTCCTGAATACGTTCAAAGCCGGGTTCATTAAAGCTGCACGTCTACCTTCAGCGTCTTTCTTCATCAGGTGTTACCAGTGTTAACGGGAACAAGGCAGAACATTCCCACTGTTAGAAGATAAGGCTCATGTTTACTGAAGGTTAAGTGTAATCCTATATTAACTTAGTTGTAAACACACGGTAACATGAAGGGAGCAGTGTTATCCAGGTGTTATCCAGGTGTTATCCAGGTGTTATCCAGGTCATGTGACACAGGCCGACCCCAAGCCTCACTCTGATTCTCTGTGTGTGCACTCAGGTGATGAAGAGGACGACGAAGAAGACGACCTTGATGGGCCGACGGGGAAGAGAGCAGCTGAGGATGACGATGACGAAGAGGTGAGGAGGAGGCGCTTCACATCACAGTAGCTACATGCCTTCGGTCGTAGAAAGAGCGGCGACCGAACACGGGCAGGTGGTCCAGCTCCACAACAGTATGATGGAGGTGGATGGAATATAAGCCGAGGTCGTCAAGGGGAAAACTACAGAACACAAGGTCAAAACGTTTCTCAGGTACAGGTGCGTCTGTTTAATAAGATGGAGAGGGAGACAGGGGCGGTGACGCCAGACGACCGCGTCCGAGAACGAGCGTAAGTTTGAATGACTCCAGCGGATTGGAGCAGAGCCAGAGGTCACTCTGAAGGCAGCACGAGTGACTTGAATATGATCCGAGCGGCCATGAGTAGACAGCGGAGGTCGATGAGCAGCGCAGTGACGTGACCTTTTAGGCTGATCTAAGGTTTTCACTGCGCGTGAAGGGGAAACCCTCACAGACGGCCCAGAATGCATCTGTACGGTGGCCCTGAGAGCTCAACGAACTGCAGCTTAAGAAAACACACGCAAAGACGCAAATTCAGTCCTACAACACAACAGGAAGTGTTTCCAGGGGACACTAAAAAGCTCAAAGCAACACACACGCAGTGTAACAGTGAGTCTCAAGATGGAGACTCCATCAACAATCAATAATGAGAGACTGGACATCACTCAGTCAGCTGGAGGTCATGGGTGGATGTCAGGGGATGAGCTATTATTATATTTTTTAGTAATAGTATTATTATTATTGTTGATGGAGTTCAGTTCTGGTGCTTCTTCTTCTTTTGTCACGGCCGTAGAGAAAAGATTTGAATCAGTTAATTCAACAGGAAAACAGGAAACTGACGAGCGTCATGGAAACACTTGGATGTACTTTTAGCTACTGTCGCTGTAGCTGCATCATCTAAATTAATTCCCCATAATTCATCATCATTATGATGCAGCGACAGCCGCTTTCACTCAAAGGCATAAATAATTATTCAGATGCGCGACGGTTTAATAACGGTCTACAGTATTATTTAGTTAAATTATATTTCTCATTGCACTTCATTTTTTTCTTTTGCCATTTGCAATATAAGAAAAATAAGTCATAAAAATAAATGAGTTTATCTTTCAGTCTGTCCCTCGCGTCAGTGATGGAGCTGTAGTTTCCTTTTCTTAGCGGATGGTTGAAAACATTTCACCTGTTAGAGATCTTGTTTCAAATAGTCTGTAATGTCCAATATATATGTCTAGAAATGTCTTATTACTGGACATACATAGACATTACAGACTTTTCTAACCAACAGATCGGCTTGTATTTCGATGACGGTGTGGTTACAGGTGTTATATTTACCTGAGATGACACTCACCTTGTTCTTCCTTCGTCTCCAGGATGAAGTTGAAACCAAGAAGCAGAAGACAGATCAGTAGAGTCTGCAGCGCTGGCTCTGTCTGGAGGACGACGACGCCATCGAGAGACAGCGAGACGGTTTTCCAGCGAACCTCCGACACCTCAGTCCTCCCTTCGTAACAAGAATACTTTTAAAAAACAGAATTAGTTTGTATTTTTATTTACATTTTATATTTTTGTAAATATTGTAACAAGGTCGGCCATTTTGCAACAATGATCTTTCTGGGTATCAAGTGGTGCTTTGAGGACTTTTAGATCCAGACTCGTCATCAGCCGTCCACATCCTGTGTGAGCCAACCAGAGGCATCCGTCCCTTTACCACAACCAACAAAACACACACACACACACAGATACACACACACACAGATACACACACAGGCTCACTGTAATTACATTAGGTTTCTGCTTAGGGTCTCGACAAGGTGTGTGTTGACTCGTAGTGGCATGGGAAGAGTTACAGTGACTCAGCACTTCTCAGAGCGCTGACTGTGTATTACTGTTAGTTTGTATGAGATTCAAAGGCTGTATCTTCTGTCCGTCTGTCACTGTCTGTCTGTCTGTCTGTCTGTCTGTCTGTCAAGGCCAGATGTTGATGTTCTTCTGTCTGTGCTATTTGGTTGATCAATAAACAGTTATTTCATTTTGCTGGTTTGTAAACCGTGTTAGTTATATACCTGTCAGAGGTTGAGCACACCTGCAGGAAGAAGACAGAGGAGAATCAACAGGAAGTAGTGCTCAGATGTGACTCTATTTCCACAGTTTCAAAATAAAATTCAGCCCCAACCACAGCAGATTTCTCTGTTTGAACAGGCTGGAGATCTTCCACTAAACTCCTTGATGTTGTGGTCATACATTAAAGTTGGCATCCAGATTTATTTTGTTTTTTTTTGTTTTTTTCTAATTATTATTGTTATTTTTTTTTTTTAGATAACTGGTTAATATGTCACGTAAACGCAAAGTGGCATATTAACTAATGGAGACTCTCTTATTTTGAAAAATATTCAGCTTGTCAGGTTGCACCTGTCCTGGTTGACAGTTTCAATAAAGTTTGTCGGTGCAGCGGAGGCTCTGTCTGTCACAGCATCTCTGTATGTGGAGTGCAGGAGTGAGTGATGTGAGCGAGCATCAGGCTGCAGGCAACTCTGGACGTCAGTGATCAAATAGTGTTGATTATAGATCCAGATTATTAACACAAGATATTAACAGTAATATAAATATAATAAAAAATATATAAACATAGATTAAATTATTTCTTATAGTTTCGACACATCGTTCTGTTAGTGATTTCACAACCTTAATTTCCCATTTCTGCAGCTTTAGATACAGGAAATGTCAGTAGCACTTCACAATAAGACTACCCTTATAAAGGATTTATAAATGGTTTATAATTAGGTTATTAACACTTTATAAATCATAAATAAATGATAATAAACAAGTTATAGCAGTTTTCATACATTGATGCAGGCTCACTATTTGGCAAGATCAAGTTACTAGTATTTATAACTGGTAAAATGGAGCTTTATTTAACTCATTAATAATTGATGATGTGTTTTACACTTTACAATAAGGCTCCTTTGACCAGTTATAAATGGTAGTAACTCATTAGTAAGATTAATGAGTAGTAAGCATTAACTTGATCTTGCCAAATAGTGAGCCTGCATCAATATAAACCATTTATAAATCCTTTTTTTCTTCCTTTATTAAGTTATGTGTAAAAAATAGTGACAAAAGTTTGGGTTGAACATATAACAGGATACAACAAAGAAAAATAAGGAGAGAGAAAAAAAAGGCGTAATAATAATAACTGCAGATGGTATTATGAATTATAATGAATTATCAATTTCCTTTATTATAAACATGGTAAACAGCGATTTTGTTGTAGTGTAAACAAACCACAGAAGAGCTGAATGTTTGAGTGTGTGATGAACCATGATGTGGGACAGTCTCAGTCCTCGTGAGGATGAGACTCGTGGGATTCGATGAGTCGTGAAAAGAGGTCGGCAAACCCACAATTCACTTCACCAAGCAGGAGGGACAGACTTTTTATTATTATTATTATCTGCATGAATTCTGCTTTAACAGCTGAGAAAACTCGTTATGTTTTAATGGGCCTTCTTACAGAGCTCACACTGGGCCTGTTATAAAATTCACACCGCTCATTTATAATCCTTAGCAACAGCTTTATTAAGATTGATTGCCTTTTTGTGATTGGTTCAGGTTTTACTGTGGACTGAATCATACACTTGTGTAAAATATGGTTCAAAAATCAGGTTGTTGGTTGAAGCATTTAAATGCAAAAATTAATTTAAAAAAGGAGAATTTTTTTTAAGGCCAGTTAAGGTCTGTGTTGATGACGGTGGTGGAGCTGTCCCGGCTGAGGTCAGAGGTCAGAGGTCATGTAGGTATGCGGCTGCGGAGGTACTCCATCACTGCGTCTGTTCCTTTGGCCACGATGGCGGCTCGGGGCGAGCGGAACGGATTCCCCTCCAGACTGAGACACCTGAGGGACGACACGTGTTTCACCTCGTTAATATGATGTTTTTAATACAAGACATGATGAGTGAAATAATCGTCAACACCATGACTGCGTGTTTCCACCTTCACAGTCTCATAAAAACAGATTCAGGGTTTCGTACGTCACAAACCAAAGGAACCAATCCTAACCTAACGACTTCCCTTTACTTCCTTTAACTTTAACTATCCTCCTAAGAACAAATACACGATGCAGGTTGAGAGAAAGTGACAAAGTAACATCTAATGATCATAATTTGATTCCTAGCAGTGAACATCACACAGAGAAAGTAGTGAACAGCATCAGTGTGACTGTCCTCTGTCTGAAAACCGCAGAAACAGCAGCTGCAGTGAAGCAGCTCAGCCAGAGGAGCGACAGACTGTGTGCGTCCTACCTGAGGCTGGAGCACAGGCCCAGCTCAGGGGGGACGTTCAGCAGGTCGTTGTTTGACAGATCCAGCGTCGACAGATTCACCAACTTCATCAGAAGACCAGGGTCCACCGCGCCCACCTGGTTGTTACCAAGCAACACCGTCTCCAAGGATGAAATCTGATAGAGGACTTCAGGGATGGACTTGAACCTGTGAGCAGCACAAAGACTGTGACAAAGTGCAGGAGACGGTCCAGCTGACAGATGCATTATGGGTGTTTTAAATTCAGTTAATTCTGCTTTCTCTGATCACCGGGGATGTTCAACTTTAAATGTGTCTCGGAGGAAAAGGAGAGAGGAGCTTAGGTTTTTACCGGACTGTTTATTGATCGGTCAGCTGATTAAAGAATGGCTCAGCTGCCGTGGAAACAGCTTTAACATTAATATATTAATTCTGTACTTTAGGGAAAGTATCCATGAAAACATAAAAATAAAACTGACGTAGCTGATGTGTGTGTTTGGAAGTTAAGTGAACAGATGATGTTTTAATTCAGAGGTGAACTGATCCAGAAACAGTGAGTTACCTGTTGTAATTGAGGATAATGGAGCGTAGTTTAGTTAAGCTCTTCATGTCAGGTGGTAAATCACTCAGCTGGTTATTCCTGAAAGAAGAAGAAGACCAAAATAAAGATCATGTGCAGCTCTTCACTGGCGCTTCTATATCAAAATCCTGTTCCTGTAACATTATTCATCAATTCAGAATTCTGCTTCATGGATACAAATAACGCTGTGCAAGTTTTTAAATGCTATATAAAGCAAATGCAATGCCATATATATCTTCTTTTTCTTGTTTTAATGTGAACACTATTACTTATTTCTCTGTTTGCACAATATGTAAATATCTTTTTGTTAATATCTGCACAAATGCAAGTACTTATAATGTATATACCTTCTTATTTATGCTTGACTTGTTATTTTTCTACTTTATTCTATTGTTATACTTGTTTTCTTCTACCTTGTTTTTCTATGCTGCTGTAACAAGTGAATTTCCTCGGTGTGGGATCAGTGAAGGTTTATCTTATCATATCTTATCTTCCTGTTTCATACAGTGTTAAAAAACATTATGTCTGGATTTGATTCCTATTTGCTTACATGCTGCATGTATGTGACATGTGATATAAAGAAAACACTGAGGGAGGCTGATGGTGTGACGATCACTGTGGCGTCAGTTTCTCTGATGTGAATAATTACATCACAGTAAACTGAATATGTTTGAACTGTTTGACAACACAAGACATTTGAAGACGTCACAAACAGAGAAAACGGGCAGATTAAATAACAATCAAATAACTGATTAATTGATTAATTGTCAGTTGCAGCCCCTACATTTAAGTTAGTCATGTAAATATACTGTAAATGTGTGTGTGTGTGTGTGTGTGTGTGTGTGTGTACCTGAGGTCGATGTGTGTCAGCTGCAGTAACTTGCAGACATCAGGAGAGCAGCAGGTCAGTTTGTTGAACCCCAGGTTGACGTCTGACAGCGAGGAGTGGAACTCCACCAGTCTGTGAACACACAGTTAGTCTGATTGGTACAAACAGCTTTTCTCTGATGATACAACAGGCTCATTACAGATGAACTGTGTCGCGCCCGGGAACGGGACAGGAGCAGGTGGCGGCGGCAGCAGTGACAAAAAGCTTCACAGTCTGTACAGGAAGTCAACGCTCACACACATCTGATCCTAGATGTTATGAAACCGATCAATCAGCTCGTACTCAGTCTCCTATAACTGTTGTTTTGATAATATTCTGTGTGACAGGAGAGATTAAACCTGTGAACATCAGGACAACGTTTATGATTTAACCTCCACATTATCAGTTTCTTACATGAAGATTTAGATGGTGAAGAATTCTCATCATATCATTCTGCTGGAGGTAAATCATCCAATCAGACTTGATTAATGGCCCTGTCTATTAATTAGTTATCAAGATAGTAGTGTAAGTGCATCATCCACGCTGTGTGTAGGTGTGTGTGACTGTGTGTGTGTGTGTGTGTGTGTGTGTGCGTGTGTGTGTGTGTGCGTGTGTGTGTGTGTGCGTGTGTGTGTGTGTGCGTGTGTGTGTGTGTGCGTGTGTGTGTGTGTGTACCTGGGAGGTATGGAGGTCAGCTGGTTCTTGCTGAAGTTAACAGTGGTAACACCCTGATCTGCTGCAGCATCAAACAGCTCATCTGGAATAACACCTGCCTGTTTCTCACTACACACACACACACACACACACACACACACACACACACACACACACACACAGTAACTAGGGTGTAACTAAACCCTTAAACCAGCAACATTTTGATATAAACATTGAATCAAATGTGAAAGAAATAAATGAAGATTAACATCAAACTCTGCAGCTTTGAAGCGTCTTCTGAGTTTATTACAACTTTGATCTTATTTTGATTTTGATCATTAATTTTTTTACTCTACTCACCAAAGTAAACACTGAGGTCTGAGGACGCAGTGACAGTAACATGAGCAGTCAGACGAAGGTTGGAAACAAACTTTTATGCAGCTTCTCTAAACGACTGTATTTGGAGGTCAGGCCAAGGTGAGTGCAGCTGACATGTCACTAATATTTCCTCATATTCCTCACACAACGACAGGAAACACAAATGTGTGTGTGTGTGTGTGTGTGTCCATCACTCACCTGTACACCAGTGTTTTGAGAGTTTTAATGCTATGTACATTGACGCTGGCCTGGCTGGGTAACGTCATGGCTGTATGTCCTTGATCTGCTCTCTCTGGCTCCTCTGTAAATACAAACACACACGCACACACACCTTTAGCTTTGCTCACCTACAACAGACGCATCACATTCAGCAAAGCCAGAAAGGTTAGCAGCGTCAATACATTCAGTCGACTAAGTTTTGGACTAAAGTAAACATGGGAACTTTAGAGTTTCACTTGTGAGGTGCAAAATGTCGTTACCTACTTAAACATAATCTCTATATTCAGAAAAACGCTGCTTTACTGAAGGTTTTCTATCTATAATCCCTGTAATTAAACTGCAACATGAGACCAAGGCCCAGAAGCACCACTCCCTTCCAACTCCCTGATGAAGACCATGAGAGGTGGTTAAAAACTATGAAAAGGGTAGTTAGTGGATGTTGAGCTGAGATTATTTTGTTACTCATATTGATCACAGGATGAAGGATGAACCTCCACACTCAGATCATTTATTATTCTCTGCAGTTCCAGTGCAGGAGAATTCAGATCAACATGTGGATGAGAAATCAGTCTAATTCTGTGGTTTTGGTTTCATCTTTGCTGAAACAATTAAAATCAGAATCAAACTTTATTGTCCATCACAAGCCGATGGAAACCTGTTTTTGAAGTGGCTCATACAGTCACTGAGTAACTGTCGGCGGACAGGATTGTGCCGGCGTTTGACGGATCTGTTTCGGCCCTTTTCAGGTTCAGTGGTCAAAACTGTTTCCAGTGCGCACAAACATGTGAACGTTACCTTTGATTCTTCCTCTTAAATACTTCAGAAGCTCATTGGTTCCTTTCTGTGACGAGAGGTGAGGTGAAGAGGAGAGGAGTGTCAGCAGTTAGAAAAATTAACATGGATGTTTGTTTCTCACAAAGATGGTGCTGAACGTTAGCAGCTGATGTGAAAGTTCACATTCAGAACCATCAGTAAACCTATCAACTGTGACATCTGTGGTAGGGAAGTTAATAATTAACCGTTAACCGACAATAAGATTAATACTATCAATTAAACAATTTAAAGCCGTACATACATGAGAGACAATCCACCCTCATTGGATATTTATCCTCTTGACAGGTGGATGTTTCCTGAGGCTGGTCACTCTAGTGAGGCGCTAATCGCTGCGTTCCTGGGACATCGGTACCATCTGACCGGGCCTCACTTCACAGGCTGACACCAGGCTGACCCCACAACATGTCCACATGTCCGCTATGCTGAGGACTGAGGTAGGCCTGGCCTTACAGTGCTCTCAGCGCTGGAGGATTCAATGTGTGTTTTCGTTTTGTTAAACTGTTTATATGTTAAAAAGTCTGGCTACTACTTGCTATTTATTTTAAGTTATAAAACATTTTCCTACACGGGAGATGGAAGTTATTATGCCAGTTCTGCACGTGTAATAAAATAAGCCATTCACACTTTGATCTTGTTGTTTAACGGTCGGTTGGATCGGTCAGAAAAAGTCTCAACATGGACGTTACTGTGACACAGTGAACCGTCCAGTCCGTGGGCCTCATCTCTCCCCGTCACTGAGGTGGAACAGCTATTCTCAGACTTAAACAAACTAGTCTTGTGTTTCACCTTCATAATTAATTCACATCCATTAGAACGGTTTTCAGTTTTCTTCCGCTGTGTTTTACTTTTACTGTGTTTGTGTTTGTGTGTGTCACCTACAGTGAGCACGTCTCTCCTGATTCCTCGCAGAGGGTTTCCCTCCAACAGTAAGACCTTCAGATTGGGCAGCAGGCTGAGAGACGCTGGGAGACTGACAGAGACAGACCCCAGTTCACATGAAAAACAGTCTTAGTTAGTAACATTTGCTCTGCAGGACTCAACAGTGCAGAGTTAGCTGTTGGCAGGGCTTCAAGCAAGGAAAATGTCTGTGGCTGAAATGTGTTGGGGGGTTCGCTGTAGGCTACAAGCCAAAGGTCGGAAAGCAAGAAAAATGGATAATTTACTCTCCAGTTCCTCAGTCGGAAACCGTAGTCTGGTAACTGTATCCAAGTCCAAGCACAACTTTCAAGGCCGTAAAAAAGAGCTTATCCAATACTATCTTTAAACTTTTCAACACTCGTTCCTCCGTCGGTCTCTAAACAGCGTTTGAGGCGTTATAGACCTACTGTTGTCGAACGATTGACAAATTAGTCCAAAAGCTTGATGATGATATGAAAACAAAACAAATCACTTATTCATTGCGGAGCTTTTTCAAAGGAGCGCGGTCACATGGAAAAGTTTTTATTAATAGAAAAGTTCTACTTGATTAATACAAAATATAAGGTTGCTTATGGCTCTATTCATATTCTTGCTACACGACATTTACAAAAAATACGCAAGAATATTTTCCACAGACATATAATTATCTATTTTTTATTATATATTTTCTATATCAGCGTCGAGTTGAAGGCCCAGCTCTAATACTCATGGTTCACCACTGGCTTAAACCTGTGCATGCACCCCAACCGTCACACGGAAATCATTTAGATCTATATGATTTAACATCCAGAAATAGAATATTTGAAAAGTAAATATCAAATATAAGACCAGGGGTATGTGTGTATGTGACCTGGTGAAATCCCTGCGAGCGCTGAATGATCACAGTGGTCATGCTACAGGAGGTGATGATGTCATGATGCTGGTGACCTACATGGTGATGTCATTGTTGGTGAGGTCGAGGCGCGTGAGCGTGCTCAGTAGGGTGATCTGTTCAGGGAGGCTTTTGATCTTGTTGTCTCGGAGCTCTAGGAGAGAGATGGCCGCCAGACAGGCCAGCTGCTCCGCCTCCAGATGCTCAATCTGGTTGTTCCCAACATACAGCTCCTACACACACACACACACACACACACACACACACACACACACATTGAAGCTCCTGAGCTGTTTCTGCAGGATTTTATACATTATACTGCTGCCACGTGATTGGCTGATTGGATAATTGCATGAATAAGCAGGTGTACAGGTGTTCCTAATAAAGTGCTCAGTGAGAAACAACACACACCGACAACTCAGTAAATCTGCTCATGAATGTGACGCCATTATTCACAACACAAACGAGTTTCACACGTAGAGAAACTCTAATGTTGCTATGGTTACCTTGAGCGCAGGTGCAGGCAGCTGTGGGAAGAGGCGGAGCTTGTTGTGTCTAAGGTAGAGCTGCTCCAGAGCGAGCATCCCTGATAGGCTGGCAGGGATGTCAGTCAGCTGGTTTTTGCTGCAGTCCAGCATCTTCACATCTGTCGAATCAGAAGTCAGATCTCAGTCAGTCAAACAAGATCACACACTATCAGCTGATCGGTGAGTCACAGCTTCACCTCATCCTCATCCTCATCATCAGATAGATAGATAGATAGATAGATAGATAGATAGATAGATAGATAGATAGATAGATAGATGATAGATTGAATTCAGATGTGATCAGATGATGTTGTACCAACTAGTTTGTTTGACGCACACTCAGAGTCTCAGGCTGCATTCAGAGCCCTGTGAGAAAAAATGCAGTCGCCTCATTTATTTGAAAGGAAAACAATGCAGGACCGTTTGGCAGCAAAGCCGAATCTGGCCAGCGAGGTATCGTGTTAGCCAATCAAATACATGCAAGAGCACGTTCCTGCTGGACTACTTTGTGACATTGACATGACATGATTCATTGTGACAGAAGATAACTCCTCTGAGTTTTACAAACCATTGTGAAGTGATAAGCCTTTAAAACACATTAATCTGTGGCTTCAACTGAACTTCCTGGATTGGATTTCACCATATCCCCATGCAGAGCTGTGTTCAGGCTGAAATAGTTTATACAAAAATATTTTTTTTTAAAGCAACAAAAGTGTTGTTTATATCAGACAATTCTTCATGAAGACGTTTTAAAATGTAAAGCAAACAAACAGAAATATATCTACTTGTCAGTGAAATGCAATTAGTTTTGTTCAACCACCAAAGACACGTCGCATCATCACAGCCTTCAATAATCTATGAACCGAGTTTTTTAATGTTCAGCCAAGCAAAATTATTCCAAGGTTATAGCTTGATGTGTGTTTGTTTGGTCGTCACGTGACATGGAGGTCAATAGATTCAGTTTCTATTAAATTCACACACTTTAAACATTCACAAACAAAGGCGAGGTCAGAGGGTTCACTGCACATAAAAGCAAATTCAGATAATATCCATTTCTACAGCACGAAACCCATCAGGACAGAATCATGTCTCGCTCACCGTCCTGCCGCTTTCACTTCCTCTCGTTTTAACAAAAATACTCATTAATTATTTCCAAGAATTTCTCTTTTCCATCTTTTTGCAGTTGCTGTTCTGTCAGTAAAACTCAAATCTTTCTGCAGATACACTGAGAGGGCTTTTAATGTGAAACATCACATGCACAGGAAGTGTTGACTTTCATTGACAGTTGCTCCACAAATATCAATAAAACAGAAATGTTAAAGTCTGTAAAAACAGAATCTATAAATCTATATTTTACTCACATGATCAAAATAACAGGTAAACAAGGAAGAAGTTCACAGCAAACAGTGCAAGCAAATTAAAAAGGAGCAGATCATAGTAAAGTATGGTAACACAGAAATAAACATTCCTGTTATTACATAATTTAGGTTACATAAGTGTGAAAAGTTGGCGTGTAGCGAAGCAGAAAGGCCGACACACAGTCAGCTGGTCTTACTTGTGAGCTGTGCCAGACTGTCGGGCAGAGAGCTGAGCTTGTTGTCACTCAGGTTCAGTTTCTGCAGGCAGGTGAGTCGGCCCAGGCCGGACGGCAGGCCCTTCAGATGGTTGTTGGACAGGTCCTTTATTCAACCCCGACAAACAGGACACCTCGGTCAGTCAATCACACAGCACAGCAGAGCAGACAGAGCCTGCTGGGAGTGTTAATACACAACACACAGTTTGTGTTATTTACCAGCTCGGTCAGGTTCTTCAGTTGCCCCAGTTCCTCTGGCAGACTCTCCAGCTGGTTCTGTTGGACTGTGAGGCTGCGGAGGTTCTGCAGAGAACACACCTCCACTGGCAGTGTTGTCAGCTGGTTATGACTGACCACACGGGGGAACAGACACAGATTGCATTTCAGTTTATATTAAAATCATAAATATAACTTTTAGTTCTGCTGTCAGAGATTTGAACTGGAAATCTAGTTTTACTTATCGAAATCATGGAAAGTCACAAGATTAGTTCATTTTGTTTTTCATTCTTTGAAATGTTTTCATGTTCCAATACATATAAAAGTGGGACAAACTGATATTGACAGAAAGACTGTTAACATGTCATTCTTGGGTGTGGTCACAATCAGTTAAAATAATTTGTACGACAGTGTGTGTGTGTGTGTGTGTGTGTTTGTATTAGGCTTGGGTAATAGAAATGTAATACCTCAATAAAATCCAGCCCAAATATTGCAATATATGAAATTATTGCAGGTGGTCGGCGTGATATACAAATATATTATTGTCTCTTTTTTCTTTTAGTAATACATATCTATATTATTGTATTTTATGTTTAAAGTATAAACGATGCTGCCACTAGGTTTGCAGACATTTTTAATATTTGTTTGTGTCATAGTTCATAAAGGTTACAATAATCTAACATAGATTGATCTGTGCACAGAGAATATTAAAGTAAATCTGAAATGTCACACCTGAGAAAACCTGAGAATGACATGTCAATACCTTCACGTCTCTAAAATTTTGTATATATGTATAATATTTTATCTGGGCGAACTATCTTAACATCATCATCCGATCCTGCTCTAATATTTACCTCAAAAGCTTGGACACATAAAATATCAGTATGTGCACGTCTGTACCTGACTCGCAGTTGCTGGAGCTCCTGTAGTTCTCCCAAAGCACCAGGTAAACTGCTCAGCTTGTTGTCATGGAGCTGCAAGAGGAAATTAACATTTTAGATCAGATACAATGAAAATGTCTTCTTGTTTTATAATTAAAAGTGATGTCTCACAGTAACACCACCTTCATCAGCATCTACAAATGATAAAAATCAATAGATGTTGTGTTTACTCAGTGAGTTAGTGGCTCAATAGATGGTAAATTAGAAAGTTAATTAGATAAGCTGGGATCATAATACAAGAGCTCTGTGTCAATTTATCCCAAATGATGTCTACAGATGCTCAGTGCTGTTTTAGCTCCTGTAGAATTTAAAGATAAAGCACATTTTGAATTTTTATAATTAAGTCAAAGGAGTTTCGCACAAAGCAAATTTCACTTTCACAATTTCTTACTGACTTCTTGTCGTTACTTACATCCAGCGTCGTGAGTCCAGGCAGTAGTGAAATGTCATCAGACAGTTGTGTGAGCAGATTGGAGGAGAGCAGTAGTTTGGTGAGGTCAGTCTGTTCCCACCAGCGTTCTGATGCGCCAAAGGACACGTTCTTCTCTGCCTCCTCCGGTGTGTCAACGTTCAGACGGTACACGTTCTGAGGGACTGAGACAAATGTTAATATAAAGTAGCTGTTACACACACACACACACGTTTAAATGGTCAAAGAGAAACAGTTATGATCGTCAATTTTAATGCATATATCACAAGGTTGCTTTAGTTGCTTCATTAGCTTCAACACCGAAAAATGTTCTATGTCTAAAATGCTGAAAAAGTGAAACATTGGTAGAATATAAGAGATTATAATATAAAACACAGTTATTTATTCTCCACATATTATATTATTATTATTATTATATACACTTATATTGTAGACACATGTTAGATAAATATATATATCCATCCCAAAGCCTGTCAATATATGTCATTATATATAGTGGGTTTCCAGAATGAGAAGATTGACATATAGAGAAATTAATAAGAAAAACAAATACAACATATAGACCTGTTATATGCAAGTTGTATATAAATTAAATATATATCATTAACATATTTGGTTGCAACACGTTTTACCAGATAAAAATTCATCATAAATATCTATATATGTATGTATGTACATATACAAATTTTATTTCATGTATGTTATAAAAGTAGATCTTCACATAATATGACATATATGTCCCTATATCAAAAGTGATGTTTTCATATATGTCATATATTACATTTCAGTATGGTCTAAGATCACCTATGATGTTTGGTGGTTGAAAGTGTGTCTAAGCAGCTGATCATTTAAATACATGACAGCAGGTAGACTATACTTCACATGAATACTGTGTAATATGCTGCCATTAATACAACATAAAATATATACTATGTAACTTAAGCATAGTTATACAGTTTAAAAAACTAATAATTTTTCCATAATTAGAAGAATACACCTAAAAATCCACTACAGCATTATTCATCTGTGTCTCCAAGACAGTGGGATACGGTGTTGAAGTAAGGTCTTCACACTCTAAGCGTTAACGTCCACATTTTTATGCGCCATTTTGACAGGATTTGACCTTTTAACTCATTTGAAAGACAGTATAATACGTGTGGTGGTTCTGTAGCTGTGTAAGCTAGCTAATAAGTGAACATTACCTTCTGTCAGCCCTCGGCCCGACAGGTTGAGCTGCCCACTTTTCCTGGCTGCCTTCAGCAGACCGTAAGGAACCATCGGCTCGGTCTTCTCCGTCCTGAAACCCGCCAGAGAGTCCACCTTCTCCGGCTTTCTGAAACGAGACATTGTCGGCGTGTTTGGTTAAAATAAGTCTCAGCAGTTGTGACCTGTGTTTACCTCCACACCCAAACTGTCCGCGTTCCGCCCGCCAGCTGCGACGAAAAAGGACCCTTCCGTCAGAGATCCTTCAGAATAAAAGCGTGGTCCTTGCCAACTTCACTAAAGACGTGCTACAAAACGTCAAATATTCCTTTCAGACACAATTTGTCACGATTTAAGGAAAACACCTATATCCTTAAAATCTGTGATCCACCTACATTAATGGTGACAGAATGAAAAATAAAATTGATTTTATTTTGAAGGTTAGCATTTTAAATGTAACAATATTTATTTTTAGTACATTTTCGAGAGAGCCTACTTGAACTTTACAGCCACTTTACTACATTTGACAGCTGATTTATTGACCGATTGCAGATTCAGATTAATAATACAAAATAAAATCACCTAATAATTACCATATATTATTATACATTAAGCTGTCCAGTAGTAAACAAAGTAGTTCAAATTAACCCAGCCTTTATAATTATATATATATATTAATATATATATATATATATATATTTAAAAGTTTTATATACAGTCTATGGCTGCCTCCCCAGCAACTAGCTTGCTGTTTTTAAGTTTTATTTTTTAATATGTGTATCTATGTATATTTATCTTTTGAGTGTTGCAGTATTTACCTTTTCATTGTTATTTCTTGTTAATGGTTTTATTGGATACTGCACCAAACATCAAGTCAAATATCTTGTAAGTAAAAACCTACCTGGCAATAAACCTTATTTTCTGATTCTGCCTTTGTGATGATGTCATCATCCCTTTCTCATACTGCTGTAGCCTGACACCCATGTGTCATGCAGTATCCCCTTGCCTTCATATTTTTATAGGTAAATAAAAACATACTATTTGTAATACAAGTACTCATGATTTGTTTCAGAGCTATCAACAATTTTAACTTTCAACAATAAATGCACATATAAATAATGAATTATAAGGAACATGGGGAAAACAACAACATGATTAACTGGACAGGGGCGAAGAGGTGCAATGCTGCCCCATGGAGGTGGAGCAAGTAGCACGATCTTACAAATTACACCTTTAAGACTTTGAAAATCAAATGTCAAATTCCATTTTCATTTTCATATTGCTATAAAATGGCATTTTCATTTTCATTTTGACCTCAAAAGAGCATGGTGACATGGAAATGGGAATGCAATAGATGGTTTGCAAATTGCATTTAAACATATTCCATTTTAGACCAGGTTAAGACTTTGAAAATGACATGTCAAAAGCTGCTTTCAAACAGCTTTTCCATTTTCATTTCAATATGGTCCTAGATTGTCCATACAAGTATGTGAAAATGCAAATTGGTTTATTGCATTTTCATTTTCATTTTTACTCGCAACACATAACACATACATTTGTGGGAAATTAAAGTGCTATTGTGGAATTAGATTATCATATGAATATAGTTTCCTATAGGCTTCCATAATGCCATATATGTTTTCTTGGTCTTCGTCAACCTGTGCACTCTAAAGCTACGACACCTGTGTTTACTGTTACGCATCACAGTGTTTTCTAATGAGTGAAAATATGTTTAGAGATCTGAAACTTGTGTCTAACAAGGTGACCATAGTTTATGGTTTTTACCAAAAGAGCGATTGATTCAATAAGTGGGTTCAGGCCACTGAGTGTTTAGTTCAGACAATGGAATTTATGGTTTCAGCAACTCAGAGAAACTGTAATACAATACTATAAGGAAATCATACACAATAGGTCCAACGTCTGCTGGATGACCACTGATAAAATGTGTCTGAACACAAAGACTCTTGTGTAAAGGTACAATGAGATAACGACATTTAAATTGTCATTTAGGTACAGAGTATCTGTAGTCTGTGAACACAGCCTACTATCACATTGTGAGGAAAATTCAGGACATACTAATTCAACGTGTGTGAACTTATCAATGTGCCATTGCCTCATCTGACCTCGGCTGTTTTATTAAGCCGCCATCAAGTTAATATTTTACAAATGATCTGAAATAAACTTCACAAGAACCTCGTGTTTAATCTACAGTAACAATAAAAATACTCTGAGTGCTGAAGACAGCAGAGCCAGGCAGCCGTTAGAAAGATTACACACACACTTGGCTCATTGTGTCAAAACTCAATGCACAAGCAAAATAAGACAAATCACTTGAAGTTGCAGTTTGAAAAAGAAATGTTTTCCCATTGACTATAAGATTTAAGTCTTGGGCAAAGTGTCTCATGTGACAAAAAGTCTGTGTTGAATTGAAAACAAAGTGTAAAGTAGAAAACATGATCCTTTGTTTAAGGCATGGCTTCAGGTTTTGATGCTTTGGTTGAAACATTCACTTTTAGTGTGAAAGCAAATCGCAAAAAACTGTAAAAGGAGCAACATCATGGCAAACCCTTAGACAATCTTTGGTTCTCTCAACTCTGCAATTATGTTTTATACAAACAAAGTAAAAAAAAAAAAAAATACCATAAACCCTAAAAAAATGCTTTAGATGAATTTATTTGGAAAACGACCAGCTGTTACTTACACAATAACTGTGTTTGCAGTTATCGCCCTTCTGAATAAAATGCAACTGTGGTTTTTTTCTTTCTTCGCTTTGTATTTTGAATTATTTTTCCTGTCGTTGCTTCATGTAAGACATGAGCAGGAAAACTTAAGTGATCAAAAATGTGCATTTATTCCAGAGTCAACATGGTTGTGCTGATAAACCCTCACGAGGTGATTGGTGGCTCAAAAGCCAGAATGACTGCGAGAAATGATTTAAAAATGACACCAGTGTTGCAGCAGGAGGGCAGTCAGTGAGAGAGGTGGTTGATATGACTCCTCTTCTTCTTCTGCTGTGGGTCAGTGAGTTGAGTGACTATTGCTTTCTTTATATGGTTTCAGATAGGATTGTCTTCATGTAAGTAATTTATTTTTTAAAAGTGGTCATTTTATGTTGAGTTAATGCATTGGACATACTATTATTACACAACCACAATCAGGCCTGTAGGATATTGAGATCTGTGTTGTAGTTTACGCTTATAATAACTTCAACTCTTTGTGTTTCATGTGTCACAGTGAGCGCAGCACTAGATCTGCAGAAGAGAGTCGCTGGGGGTCAGGACTGTGATGGGGGGGGGGGGTCCAACCCGTCCCATTGTCAACTGATGGGACGGGTTGGACTCTCTGTGGTGGCTCTCTGGTCAACCACCAGTGATGTTCTTCTTCAAGGACTGAACCTCTCCCTTTACATGAAAGACACTGTTTGCAGATATAGGAGTGAATCCAGGTCCAAGTACAAGACAGGAAATTACAGACATTGAGATCTTTTCGATGGACCACGACATCATGCTGGTGAAGCTAAAGAACCTGACCCCTTATCCATACATAGCTCTTCCCAAATGTTTGCCATGTGCACCATGCCTCAAGAGGCCCAGACAGTGAGTGAAGGATCTTTAAGTTAAACCAACCTGTTGAGACACTGTGTTGTACAGTACATACTCTTTAATCTTTTCATCATTCATCTTCATTTCATCATTCAGTCATTCTGTTTGACACCTATCATGCCAAAAACACTTGGTTGGTTGGTTGGAGAAAATCGTGGTCACTAACATTAACTGTTGACCTCTGCCCCTTCACTTTCCACTGGCTCCACACACGACCTCCTGCATAGGCTATCTGTATTATATTTATGTTTCTTATGGTCACTGGCTGTTTTATTTCATGATTTCATAGTTCTCTGAAATCACAGGTGACATGCAGTGATGAGTGTGTAGTGCTATATCTTAGTGCTTTTTACAACCTGGCTACAGCATCATGACACCTGAAATCTGCAATGGCTGCAGCTGTGGCTAAAAGACATAGTTTGGTTTAAGGTCTATCTGCCCTATGAACATGTGCAGTGTTACTCACATGAACAAATCGAATCATAAGATTCTCATTTCCCTCATGAACATAAATGACACCTTTAAAATTAATGTACACAATCAATGTTTGCAAACCTAGTTCCGCCCAATGCATAAAAATAACCTTGCGCCAGAAGTAAACAGCTGAATTGCCTCAAAATGAAATGGGAGAGAAAAGACGGAGGTCTCCCAAATAATTGGTAATTGTTATTTATTTCCCAAACAAGACACAAGGGGGCAGTGTAACACTACATCACCTGACATTACAACCTGTGTAAATAATCACTGCATTAGGAAACATCCAAGTCATTTAGCTAATCTCCACTATTTTCTTATGCTTTAATCAAGACAATAGTTGAAATCTGTTCATTAAAGGAAGCTTATTGAGATCAATATCCATTTTCAGAAGAGAATATGAATTAATGATCGCTGCCAGAGTAATCAATGATAAAATAATTGTGAGTTGCGCCTGTACAGAGGTCGGTTAGAAATCAGTCTGAGGTGAAAATAAAGTTTTTCAAAAATGATGTCAACATAAAATGAGGTTCAGTAGAACTGACCCCAAGAATTACACATGAAATCCTTCATTTATTACAGTTTGATTAAATCTAAGGTGCAGTGCTGAGAGTTGGACAGATGAGGGCACCACATACCATTTAATTCAGCATGTTTGACCCCAGACTGTATGACAGAGTGGAACTGCAGCTGTACTCAATGTAACGTGCAGATGTATGTTTGTTCATATAAGGTTTTATTTGATATATATTTTATTATAAGTAGGCCTCCATGATAACCACATTACAAGAGCAAGTAAACTACAATATATTTAGTGCTTCTTACGACTGTGGCTTTCAGCAAAGTTTGTGTGGTTATCATGACGTAATGATGGGACACCTGAGAACTGCAATGGCAGCTGTGGCTAGAAGAAGGATGATTTGGTTTGTGGCCTATCTACCCCTCTAACTACCCTATCAGCCCTATCTACCCTAACTACCCTATCTACCCCCCTATCTACTCTATCAGCCCTATCTA